CACCGACACCTCCCTCCCTCCTCCCTCTCTCCCCTCCCCCCCAAGAATGTCCTTTCCATTTGCTTGTAACAACTTCATGAAAGTATAGTTGTTATATCTTTAAAAAAAAAAAAAAAGAAAACCAGGAGTTTAGATTTCTATTCTTTCCTTTTTTTTTTTTCTTAAAAGATGACCGGTAAGGGGATCTTAACCCTTGACTTGGTGTTGTCAGCACCATGCTCAGCCAGTGAGCGAACCGGCCATCCCTATATGGGATCCGAACCTGGGGCCTTGGTGTTATCAGCACCACACTCTCCCAAGTGAGCCACGGGCCGGCCCCATCTATTCTTTCCTTTTGAGAAGGCTCCATATACACATTGAGCCACCCTTTCTTTGGTAACCAGCTGTACAAGGATACTTCAAAAATTTCGTAGAAAAGTGGAATTAAAAGATAATACAAATCTTTCCATTAACTTTTTGAAAACCCCTCATAGACAGCAGACATCTCAGTCACAAAGGATCTTGCTTCTCTAATCTCTGTCTGTGGATACCAGTTCATCCTATATTTGCTTAACTAAATCACTCTTAGATCACTGCATGTGGAAAAGAAGATTGTCTTCTTTTGATTAAAATACTGTACCCAGTGTAAAATGAAATTAGTCAGACTGTGGGGAATCTGGAGGAGATAGCCTGGATTGGAGCAATGGCCTGGCTGTGTGCATGACATGGATGTTCGGCTGTGGGAAATTTCCTGGGGCCTTCAGCTTTGGAAACATTGAGGAGAGAGCAAGTCATTGTGGCCTGGGGGAAAGAGAGCTGGTGTAGCTGTGAAATAACTCTTCAGGTGACTGAGCAATATACTTTACCCTCTGAGCACCTTGGAGGGTCTCTGCACCCACTGAGGTTGGTGCCATGAGGGGGATTGTAGCATCATGTAGAACAGTGGACTAGGTAGCTTCGGGAAATATCTTCCACTTGTAAAGTTCTATGGAAGTGACAAGATTAAGGCTGTGAAACTTTCCATCTCTGCATGAAACAGCTTTTTAAAATCTTTAATTTTGAGCGGGCCCGGTGGCGCACTGGAGAGTGCGCCGCTTGGGAGCGTGGCGGTGCTCCCACCGAGGGTTTGGATCCCATGTGGAGACCGGTTCCCACTCACTGGCTGAGCGCGGTGCGGGCGCAACACCGAGGGTTGCGATCCCGTTGCCGGTCAGTAAAAAAAAACAAAAAGGAAAAAAATAAAATAAAATAAAAATAATAAAATAAAATCTTTAATTTTGCCCAGGATTTGGCACACCGTAGACACGCCGTTTAGAATGTTTCCTTTTAATCTTCATCCACAGTTATTCTCTCTTTTTAGCTTCTTCTGGTTTATTTCTTTTCTCTCTCATACTCTATATTTTCTTCTCATTCCAGCTTTTGAATAGAAAAGACAAAACCACCTTTGAGAAATTGGACTACCTGATGTCTAAAGAAGATAATTATAAGCGTACTCGGGAATATATCCGAAGCCTGAAGATGGTTCCCAGTATTCCCTATCTAGGTAGGAGTCTGAATAGGCTTATTATTTTTTAAGAAACCTGCTCAGCGCCAAATAAGATGTTTTTCCAGTTTCTAGTTGAGAAATTTCCAGGAAGCAGCATGGGCCATGGATATAAAGAGGCAATTGGTTAGCTCCTTGGATTAGAACAATTTGTTGATACTTCGCAGGGATGAGAACCTTGATAAGGGCAAGAAACAAGAAATGTTTTGCTTTTTATACAAGCGGCCTATGAATCCCAAGGTTTCCTAGACTGCAGCCCAGATGGGTCATAATGACAGTGTCAAGACTCTTACTGGTTCATCCATATCCTCCTGAACAAGGGGAATTCAGGCACAAACCCTCTGTTCTAGTTCTCTGGGCATTAGTATATTTAATAAGATTTGTATAAACAAAATTATCATAATGATTTTTAGTTTTTCTGGTTAGAAAATAATGCATGTTCATTGTAAGAAATTAGGAAGAGAAGGAAGTTAATATCATTTGTTATCCCACCTGAAGATATTTTGCTCTGTATCTTATCATTCATTTGGGCATATATAAAATACATGTTTACTCTATCCTGATCACTTAATGTTATTATCTGTGTTTCTATATACTAGGACTCAATTCCAACAGATGGATTTGTTAAACTCAAATCTGCCCTCTAATACTGACCATTTGAGTTTTTTTTTTTTTTTTTTTACATTCTATGATGTTGTGGAGCAGTTGGGGGAGGGGGAGAGGGGAAGGGAGAAGGAAATAGGGTGAGAGAAGGAGGAAGAAAGAGGGATGGGGTTGAGGCCTGTGGCACCCCCCTCATTCCTGCAGGGGAGACCAGGGGGCTTCCCAGGGTGTCTTGGTCATTGCTGAAGCCCTTGCCCCACCCCCCAAGCTCAGGAGCTCAGGACACTTATTGCTGTGGCTTGGTGGTCATCACTGGGCTGGTTGCAGGTGTTGAGGGGGTGTGGCCAAGGCCCCCAGCCCCACACTGCCCTGTCTTGGGAGAACCTGAGGAGCTTCCTGTAGAGAATCAGTGGTTGTTGCTGGGTTGGTTGTAGGTGTCGGGGGGCATGGCTGAAGCCCTGGCTTGGTAGCCCAGGATAATTCTAGTCCTTCTAGATTTTATAGGTGTTCTTTGGTGATGTGAGACCTTTACTAGTTAATATCAAACCTTGTCTCTGGTCTGTGGGTATTTTGTCTTTTCTTCCAGTTCTGTGTTGGACTATTTGCTGTTCCTACCACTTAAACTCTGCACTGGAACTAATTTGTTGTTCTTTGCTTACTTTTAAAATGGAGGAACTTCCTATGGGGACCAGCACATGAGCTCTGTGATTTAGCTAAGTTATTGCTTTGCTGCTGATTTCCTAGGGAAGGCTTTTTGTGCAGCTCAGGTTTTAATGGTTGACTTTATAGGTACTTCCGGCTCTCATGAGATCTGGTACACCTGGGTTGTGTAGAAACTGGTCTGGGCCTGAGTCTTTTCAGCCAACTGCACCCACTGCAGTTCTATATTCTTGACCAGTCTCCACTGAGTGGTCCTGTACTGATTGAGGGGCAAATCAGCTGTCCATGCTATGCCCCAGTGTTTTCCTGGTGGGCCCATCTCCCCCACTGCCTGCACTCCAGACACTTCCCATGGGGTGGGCTGTGCTCCAGTCTCTTGCACTGACTTGCTGGCCTCTGATTGGCTCCTTTTTTTCAGTTGTTGTGGCTCCTCGCTGCTATGTGGGTCCACGGGAACTTTATTAGTAGTCTTGTTGGCCTGGGGGCCACCAAGGCCCTCTTCTCTCCTGCCACCTCCAAGCAGCTTCACCTGAAGGCCACAGCTGTGGCTTTTGCCATCTCCTGCTCCATGTGCTTACCAGCTCCAGCCTTGAAGCAGCCGGGGCTCAAAACAATTGGAGGGGTCCTTTCTTTCTCTTATCATGGCTTCTCCTGCCTTCATGCACTCCATAGGTCTCTCCTCCTCCTCTTCCCCTGAGCTCTAGCAGACCCAGCTAGGCTGTCGTTTTTTAATAGTTGTAAATTAATTGATTTGTGGGAGAGAGTGATGCTGGTGACCCGTCTATTCTACCATCTTGACCAGAAGCCCTGAAATTTGAATTTTTAATGTAATATCTCCAAATCCTGAAATGTTGGTAACTAATGCAAATGTTTTTAATAATGTGGGTCCAACACACTCTTCATTCCCAGGCCTGGGCCAGTGCCAGAGTTCCAAGAAACGTGGCAGGGCTGAGGGCTGTAGTGCAATTTTTTAGAAATATATCTTTGACAACTTTTAAAATTTCTTCCATGTGCGTTATTTATTTAGGTTTTCTAATTCTTTTAAAGCCACCTTGGAAAATTTGATTTTTAGTAGAAAATTGTCCATTTGACTTGTTTTCAAAATTATTAACATCGAGTTTTTTCCTCATTCAATTTTTTTGATTATAGAGTATTATATAGTATTCTTTTATAAATTTGAGCCTCTATATGTACATAGTTATATTTGTTTTTGTACTTCTAATAGTTTGTATTTTTGTTTTCTTTCTTTTTTTAAATTTGACTTGCCAGAGGATTGTCTATTGGTCTTTCCAAATAACTAGATTTTTGATTTATTTATCAGTCACACTGTTTTTCTGCTTTGTAATTTACCATATTTTATTAATCTAGGATGTGCTTTTTCTCTCCACATCTTAGCATCTCTGAAATTGGGATGTATTTTTCAATTGATGATAAAGCATTGTGATGTTGTTTAATCAGCAGCAATTTCTTTTAGTCATACATTAAAAAAAATAGTATACCTTACAATAGTTGACATCTTAAACTTGATGAAATATGGAATTTCCACTTTTGTCTTATATAATTCATCTCTCCAGTTTTCCTTAAGTTGTTTTGTTATTTCTGTTAACTACTTGAGTTGGATTATTTGTTCATTTGGATGTATATCATTCTTTTCACTACATTATAGAAAACAGTTAAGGATATAAACTTTCCTCCAACTGCTGCTTTTTTTTTTCTACATGTTTTGATGTATAATTTTCTCAATGATAGTCTTTATTCTGTAATTATAGTTTCAATTTTTCTTTTTTTTTTTTTTTCCTTTTTGTCTTTTTTCGTGACCGGCAACGGATCGCAACCCTCAGTGTCGCGCCCGTACCGAACCGGGACCGGCAGCGGAATCGCAACCCTCGGTGTTGCTCCCGCACCTCGCTCAGCCAGTGAGCTGCCGGTCTGTATGTGGGATCCGAACTCTTGGCGGGAGCACCGCCGTGCTCCGAAGCGGCGCACTGTAGCAGTGTGCCACCGGGCCGGCCCTCAATTTTTCTTTTATTTAAGTATTATTTAAGGTAGCAGTTTGTAAATTTTCAAGCACTTGATAGTTTTATCTTTGTTTTTTTCAAATAGCTTTATTGAAATATAATTAATATATAATCAATTTAGAGGGGACAATTAAGTGGTTTTTAGTATATCATAGAGATGTGCAATCACCACCACAATCAGTTCTAAAACATTTTTATCACCCCCAAAAGAAAACCCATGTCCATTAGTGGTCACTCTCATTTCCCTCTAGTCACCCCCTTTTCTCCTGCCCTCAGCCCGAGGCAACAACTAATATACTTTCTGTCTCCATAGATTTGCCCATCCTAGAAATTTCATGTAAATTGAATCATATAATATATTGTCTTTTATGACTGGCTTCTTTCTCTTAGCCTTACATTTTCAAGATTCATCCATGTTGGAGCATGATCACTACTTCATTCCTTCTTATTGCTGAACAATATTCCATTATATGGACATAACCACATTTAATTTATCTATTTGATGGACGTTTGAGTTGTTTCCACTTTTTGGCTATTATGAATAACACTGCTATGAATGGCTTGGGTTTTAAAAAAAATATTCTCTAATTTTATTTTACAGTGGTTGAGAATGCGTGACGTATATGCTTTCAAGGTTTTTGAAAATGTTTGAAATTTGTCTTGTGGCTTAATATAAGATCAATTCTTATATATGTTTCTTGGATATTATAAAAGAAGGTGTAGTCTCTCAAGTTACTCTTATAATTACACTATAATATTAAAATATTAATTTTTGACAACTTGGTCTGTCAAGGATACAAATATATGTTAGGGTCCCCTTGCATTTCTAGTAGTTTCTGTCTTACATATTTAGTATACAGGAGTTTGTAACAGTTGTAGATTCATTGTGAAAGGTCCCATACAAGATTTTCCTGGTTCCATTCCTTATTTGTTTTTACTTTGATATTAATTAATTTGCCTTTATTATAAATCTTTGACTATATTTCAGATTTTAGTATTTTAAGTTGCCTTCTTTTAGATGTGATTCTTTGCAGCTAGCATTGAATGGGACCCAAAATGAGAGATCTTGCCTTTTTTTTTTTTTTTTTTTTATAAAGATGACTGGTAAGGGGATCTTAACCCTTGACTTGGTGTTGTCAGCACCCCGCTCACTCAGTGAGCAAACCGGCCATCCCTATATGGGATCCGAACCCGTGGCCTTGGTGTTATCAGCACCGCACTCTCCCGAGTGAGCCACAGGCCGGCCCCAGATCTTGCCTTTTAATAGGGAAAACTAACTCACATTTTTTTAGTTTTATGCCATATGATTGAATTAATATCATTCTATACTTTCTTTTGTCATAGTTTCTTACATTCTTCATTCTCTTCTTCCCGCTTGCCATAAACTGTGGTGTCTGTCTACTTGGTGACTGGCAAACCCTATCTCAAGTCTACAGATGGAGGGCATGGTGATGTGCACAGCTCCCAAGTTCATTTCCACTAATCAACTGAGAGATGGAATTAATGGTATTAGGGTGAGGGCAGCCTAGTGCCTTTCACTAGTTCAACTAGTGGAAGTGCTGCATGATCCTTAAGGATGGCCTCCTTTCTCTAATAAGAATGATCATGAGAGCTGCAAAGTGTATTGTCTGCTGTAACTGTGCCTCATACTTTGCTAGGTGTTTGAATGCATTATCTTATTGAATGCTCACAATAGCCCAGTGTATAAACACACACTAA